AAAAAAAAAAAAAAATTAAATAGCCTCCATACTGCTCCTGTGGGGTCATCCTAGTGTCCGTACGCCCTGACATTTGAATTTGGATCAGAATGGCGTCACTAACGCTGTGTTTTTATCTTAAATGTCCACTGTGACCCTCCTGCCTGGAGCCGCGTTCACTCCGCTCAAACACTTACCCCCCCTCCATTGGCAGAGTGGTGAGCAGATGAGTGAATTTTCATTTTTGGGTGAACTATCCCCTTAATCCCATGTCTGAATAATCTGCTGCTTTGTGTCATGAAGACTTCCTGTTCACGGGGTAAATAATGAATGCACAGCATCTGTCAGTGGATTTTAATCTGGGGCTGCTGCAACTAAACGGTTTAATCTATAATAAAAATAATAGGTCAGGTCTGATTAAAATTCACAACACGCACTGCGGCAGGCTTCTCCTGAGGTGGGGGCAGTAAACCAGCCCATCCCGTGCCTTGTTTAGCTCACGTGACGAAGATGTCAACTCTCTGGAGCAGACGTTTGAAAAATGGCAGAGAGGAGGATTGGTGCTAATGATCATATTTTTAAAATGAATCCTTAAATGTGTGAGAACAAGTCTTCAAAAAAAAAAAAAACATCAGCTGCAAACTGTAAGGCTGATTTCACAATGAAGAGCATCACTGTGGAACAAAAACTGAGGAGAAAAGATGGAGGCATTCTGCTTCTTCCTCATCCTCTTTTGGTTTACTGGTGGATCGTTTACAGCTTAAAGGTTCAGTGTGTGTAATCTAGTAACATCTAGTGGTCAAGTTGCATATTGCAGCTGAACTCACCTTCCCCTTCCAGACATGACAGAACCTGTAGAATCTTCAGATGTCATAGAAACTCAAAAGGTTTATTTTGTCCAGTCTGCTCTACTGTAAAAAAAAAAAATAATACATGGCTGCCTCAGTATTTTGATAGAAAAGACCCATTCTACGGTGAAAAAAAACAACTTAAAAGATATCAGCAATGTTGTTTTTAACTCGAATTTTCATAATTATTATATCACAAGATGTCTTGAATTTAGATAAACTTGGATTATGAGTCACAATTAAATACTAGTTGTCTGAAACTGGAATTATATTCATAATTAAATTGCAGATGTCTGTTAAACATGTAAAAACAACACCGTAAAAGACCATTACTTTTGATTAAAATTTCTGGAAAGGTTCAAATGTAGTAATATTTTTTTCTCTTCTTTCCACAGCGTGAGTGTATCTCCGTGCACGTTGGTCAGGCCGGTGTCCAGATTGGCAATGCCTGCTGGGAGCTTTACTGCCTGGAACATGGGATCCAGCCGGACGGACAGATGCCCAGCGACAAGACCATCGGAGGAGGAGACGACTCCTTCAACACCTTCTTCAGTGAGACCGGAGCTGGAAAGCACGTCCCCAGAGCTGTTTTCGTTGACCTGGAGCCCACTGTCATCGGTAAACTGTCATGAAATGTAGAAACCAGGGTGACTCTGATTTCCTTAAATCA